TCCACGTAAGGTCTCGGGAATGAGAATTCTTGTTCCCCTTAGAACTAGCTGTCCTACAATATACAGCTCATCTCTGAGAGGTAAATAATGTTTGTTTTCCAACTTGTGCCACTGCTTACTGCGAATACACTTTCTTAACTGTATGAGGTCCGGGTCTACAGCTGTTGCCTCTTCAATTTCCCTTGTAGTCAGTGCCCGGGGTGTTGCATGCTGAGCCACAAATCTGATGTACTCCTCTCTGCATCATTGAACTAGTATTCATCAGTTATGTTGGAGTTATTTCCCTTGCCCTTGTCATCTATAAGTCTAGATAGAGTGTCAGCCACATTTTGTGGTCCAGGTATATATTTCATTTTGAACCGGTAGGGCTGGAGTCGTAAAACCCATCGGTGAATCCGAGCACTTGATTTGCCTGTGTATGTAGCAGAATAAATGCATTCCAGTGGTTTGTGGTCTGTATGTAATTCGAACTCTGTTCCATATAAGTACATATGTAGCCGTTCACAAGCCCACACTACCCCTAGAGCTTCTCGCTCTGTCTGTGAGTATTTACGTTCGGTCGTGGTCAGACTATTACTAACATAGCATATGACACGGCGTTCTCCGTTTTGTTCTTGTTCAAGTACGGCGCCTAATCCCACAGGACTTGCATCAGTGATCAGAACTGGTTTTGTATTTCTATCAAAACAACCCAAAGTTTCTGTATATAAGAAAGGTTCTCCTTTCTTTGTGAGACGGCTCAGTGGTTCAGCCACTGTAGGCAAATTAGGGATAAATCTCCCCACATAGTTGACTAGTCCCAGAAAACTTCTTATCTCCCCTGGGTTATTGGGTGGTCTAGCCTCAATCACAGCTCTTACCTTTTCAGTGTCAGGACCAATCCCGCGAGCTGAGAGTAGGTGTCCCATGAACATTAGTTCAGACATACGGAATTGACACTTGTCTGGATTTAATGTCAAACCTTTTTCCTGTATGGTCTTAAGTAGAGATTCTAGCCTTGCGTCATGTTCTTGCCCAGTAGGGGCATGGACGATAATATCATCAAATATGTTGCGCACACCTTCACAACCTTGTAGAGCTTGCTGGATCACACGTTGATATATTTCTGGGGCACATGATATACCAAACATCAAGCGTTTATAGCGATATAATCCCTTGTGAGTCACAAATGTTGTGATTGAACGTGATGCTTCACTAAGTTCGATTTGGTGAAAAGCTAACTTAATGTCCAGCTTACTGAATACAGTGCTTTGATTCAGGTCATACAGTACTTCCTCCACTGTAGGAATAGGGTGTCGTTCCCTTATAATTGCTTCGTTAGCCCTTCTCATATCCACACAAAGTCGAATATCTGTACCTCCCTTGGGAACTACCACCACTGGTGACACCCACAGTGTTGGCCCATTTGCTTTTTCTGTAATGTCAAGCTTCTCCAGCTGATCAAGTTTGTTTTCTAATTTCTCTCTCAAGTTAAATGGAATTCTTCTCATACTCTGTGCTACTGGGGTGACAGATTCATCTACTGGGATATCTAGCTCAAAAGACTTTAATTTCCCAAGTCCTTCAAAACATGACTTATATTTCTTCACAAGTTCATCAGTCCCTAACTGTTCTATTGAGTTTACCTGTAACTGCTGATGGTCGTTATTGATCTTCAAAACACCAAGATCTGTAGCTGACTTGTATCCAAGAAGTCCTTTACCTTTCTCGCGAACAACTATGAACTCTGCATCAATTGATCTGGAACCCACAGAGACCTGTGTCTGGAAACAACCTATCACATTCATAGATGTTTCACTTCCGTACACAAACAGATTTTTATCCGTTTCCCTTGACACGCATTTCACTCGTTTTTGTTTCAGTTCTTTCCACAATTCCTCATTTATTACATTGCAGCTTGCGCCGGAATCAACTATCAACGAGATATCAGACACGCCGCCAATGTTAACTTGAATCGTTGGTTGTTTACCTTCATCTACCAGAGTAAAAGCATAGTCAGTTTCTACTAAGTGAACATTTGACTTGCCTGTACGTTTTTGACCGTTTGTAGTGCTTAATTTGTCACGCGTGACCGCGCATTTTCGTCCCGCCATATATCGGGTGTTTATGTGCAAAAAAGATTTCTATGTGTAGTTATCATTCCTCTCACATGACTACCCAAGTGGTGTTCACTTGCCTGCAGGAAGGTGTTGTTATCGCGTCCATAGACTTTCGTGTCTGGAACCATTTTTTGCCACCTAATTTCTAGGAGTTTTCCCAGCTAGTGAAAGATAAGGGTTCGTTTTATGTCTACTGTAAACGGGCCAGATAACTTTCAGTTGTACTGAAGTCTGTTATAAGAACACTAACTGAATACACACTGAATGTTGTCTTAATGACGATTCTCTGTAACGTTTAAAGCATGCGTTAGTTGGACTGATGTGTAGAAGTTGAGAGTACGTGTCGCCTTTCCATGGTTTTTTTCATTACTCCTTCTAATCAAGGGTTTGGTGCCATTGACCACGTCAAGGGTAGAAGCTACAGAAGATTGAGATGCTTCCTGGGAGATATTAAACCTGGGTTGTTGTCATCGGGGTCGAAGACTTTGTGAAGGAGGGATTAATATAGAAGTTGAAAGTACATGTCGCCTTTCTAAACAACCTATCACATTCATAGATGTTTCACTTCCGTACACAAACAGATTTTTGTCCGTTTTCCTTGACACGCATTTCACTCGTTTTTGTTTCAGTTCTTTCCACAATTCCTCATTTATTACATTGCAGCTTGTGCCGGAATCAACTATCAACGAGATATCAGACACGCCGCCAATGTTAACTTGAATCGTTGGTTGTTTACCTTCATCTACCAGAGTAAAAGCATAGTCAGTTTCTACTAAGTGAACATTTGACTTGCCTGTACGTTTTTGACCGTTTCGTGTCGTTTCCTTGTTCCGTTGTTGTTTCGTTTTACAACATTTAGCCAAATGACCGATTTTGTGACACTTGTGGCACTCCTTATCCTTGGCAAAACAAGAATCTGAATTCTGTAAGTGTGTTGTGCTTCCATAGCGATAGCACTTCCGGTTTCCGGTCTGTCGATCAGGTTCAGTTCTGCGCTTAGAATGGTGTACTCGATTTACCTCGCCGGTACCGCGTGGTGTAGTCGGTGTCCCCTCAATACTAACGGCTTGTTTTTCACTGCTTTCTATAGCCCTTGCGATATTTTGTAGCTGATCCAGGGTTAAATCTTTCCCTTTTTCTAGTAGTTTACGTCTGAGATTGTGAGAATTACACTTCTCGATGACCTGATCCCTTATTTGATCGGGAATATCATTAAAATCACAGAAGGTTGCTTGTTGTCGTAATCTTGTTATTAACTGATCGGTTGTCTCTGATGGTTGTTGTGAAATGTTTCTGAAAATATGTCTCTCATATGGAACGTTGACTTGAGGTGTAAAATTCTTATCTAGCTGGCTCATGGCTACCGTGTACACCGTTTCGTCCGTGTGCTCACGAGGCTCAATTGCTGGGAAAGTGAAATAAATGTCCTGCATTTGCATTCCACCACAATGTAGCAATAAAGCTTTCTACTGTGCATCTCCAGTTACTCCTTTCCCTTCCACGAAAAGTTCGAAAGCACGCCGCCATTTCTTCCACCTTGCGCCAACTGAAGCTGGGTCAGAATGACAGTCAAATTGGGGAATACCACGGATATCTGTTGAAACTGGAGTCGCCATTCTCACCAATTAAATGTGTAGGTTCTTTTTACCGCCATCCTCGTCGCCAATTGTTGAGTTTTCTCACCGGATTACTCAGATTATAACAACGAATTGAATCATCATGGCTGACATCTTTATTCCCGTCTCGCTCTCTCGTGCGCATGCTCAGGGAGCATACCATACAACAAGTTGGCGGAGGGGGGGAGCAGTTATGAATTATTATGAAGACACTACAGTCAGATTGTCCTTGGTGAATTCCGAAATTATTTGTGATCAACTTTTCTTTTTTCAGACATCGGTATTGACATGATATACAAAAGACGAACCAAATGCCATTCCGGAAAAATCTGGTATCGCCAAGTCCTTAGTTGGCGTCAGTGAGATTCGCTGCTTTGGATTTTACGTATATGTGTAGACTATAACACTGTACAGCAGACAAGTGAATATCATCCTTTTGATAAGAATCCAAAATTACATTACGTGAACTTTAAAACTTACAATTTTACATTGTTGCTGTCGTTGATGAATAAAAAACTCTTACTTCTCCGGATCACCTGGCGTTAATTTTTCTTTTACTTTTCAGGAATTCATATCTAGTTTCCCAACGAACGCCTTTAAAACATTATTCTTAGAGAAAATTGCATAAAATATGAAAGTTACCATCAAAACAGCAATGTCCATATAAAGCTGGATATATTAGCTTTTTTATGTAAATATGCCTGCAACGGACTCAATATCTGACGTTTGGTGTAGATAAAATCTCGTTATGGTTTAATATATAGGAACAGATTAACATAGAGCAACTATATAGTATGTGGCAAACCACTATTATTGTGTCCGATTAGGACAAAACAAAAAACAACGTAAAAAAGGTTTTATTATTTTGATTACCAAACCAAAGGTATACTATCTATAATGACCTAAATCATATTATTTTCAAACTATAGTAAGCATCAGCTGGATTATTACAAATCGAGAGACAAAAATCTAGATCGGAAGGTGTACTAGCTCTACGATTTAGTGATTCTCGTATATCTGATCATTTTAGAACAGCGTCAAGTACATGTGTATGAATCAAAACGTGACATGCAGGTTACAGTTAGCCTCGGGGACTTAATACCCACCAGCGGTGTCTAACATCAGCTATCTGAAAAATTGTACAAAAGACACAAGCGTGAATAGTACCTTTTAATACAAATTAAGAATTAGATACAGTAGGGTCAAAGACTGTACAAAAGACACACAAGTGAATAGTACCTTTTACTACAAATTAAGAATTAGATACAGTAGGGACAAAAATTGC